ATTTAGTTGAAAAATGAAACAATTCTTTCTTTTGGTTTATCAAAAAGAAAAGTCTCTAAATTTATTTTTATAAAAATTTTGTTAAAAATTCTTTTGAAAAATTACAAATAAAATATCTAATAAGCTTAAAATGTTTTTTGAATAGTGAAATAAAACATTTAAAGAAAAATCATCATTTCAATTTGAAAGAAAACTCTATGAAAATTTCTTTTCCCAAAAAAATCTAATCAAGCAAGAATATTTATCAAAAATGATCAATAAAAACGATCTTCAAAATTTATTTGATAATTAATCAAAGAGCAAATGAACTTTCTATTTTCTATTTGACAAAATAATCATTTAATTAAATGATAAAATTCTTTTAGAATTCTTTGAAGAAATCAGATTCTTCTAAGTCCTTTTGTTTTTTTTTATAATTTATTGACAATTAATTTTATATCGAAAGATTTAGGTAAATTTTTTTAAAGATTTCTTTCATTTCACAGACATCGATTTTATTCAAAAATAAAACATTTTACAACGAATGTAAATGAAACTATTAATTAAATTAGAAAAAAACAATATTAAAATAGATATAGTAGCACATGCCTTTTCATTTCAAATTATAAAAATTTCTTTTTTCAACGAAATATATTATTAATTAGATCACCAAAAAATAGATTTCAATTTAGTTTTCCAACACTTAGTAAAAGAAAATAACTTCTTTTTTTTACTAATAAAATTTGTTTTATTGAAAACATAAAATAATTATTTGTCGTAATTCATTTTCACAAACACTAAATCTTAATCATCATTTAAAGTTTTTTTTTTTGAATCGCACTGATCATATACAAAACGAAATTCAATGTAGAACTTTAAAGTTGTTTAAAACTATGATGCGATAAATATCGAATATTTACAATTAGAAACTAAATGTTCCGACACAAAACAAAATCTTTGTATTATTGTTAAAATTTAATTTTTTATGGTATCGTTTTAATAAATTCAGTTTTTTCTAGTAAGTTGACGAATAATTTTCTCGACTTCTTGTCGACGTGGATGGTCAACAAGAAGAAACTTCTCATAAATAGTCAATGCATGTCGATAATAATCAAGTGCCATTTTTCGCTTGTTCTGATTTTCATAACAAACACCAATATTATTCAAACTGTCAGCAATATTGACATGACCAGATGGATAAAGTTTTTTTCGAATTTTCAATGCTTGTTGATAATGATCGAGAGCTTCATCGTACTTTCCTTGATAAAAGAGAATTTTACCGATATTGTGGAGGGTTCTAGCAATATCGACATGATCAGATGAATAAAATTTCTCTTGAATTTTCAATGCTCGTTGGTAATAATCAAGAGCTTCATCGTACTTTCTTTGTCTATTGAGAATTTTACCAATATTGTTAAGGCTTGTAGCAATATCAATATGATCAGATGGATAGAATTTCTCTTGAATTTTCAACGCTCGTTGATAATAATCGAAAGCTTCATCATAGTTTCCTCGATAGCAGAGAATAAGACCTATGTTATTGAGACTTGTAGCAATATCAACATGGCCAGATGGATGAAATTTCTGTCGAATTTTCAATGCTCGTTGATGATAGTCGAGAGCTTCATCGTACTTTCCTTGTTTGTAGAGAATAACACCAATGTTGTCGAGGCTTGTTGCAATATCGATATGACCAGATGGATAAAAATTCTCTCGAATTTTCAATGCTCGTTGATGATAATCGAGAGCTTCATCGTACTTTCCTTGACACGAGAGTATGAGACCAATATTATTAAGGCTGTAAGCAATATCGGCATGATCGGATGGATGAGATTTCTGATCAATGTTCAATGCTCGTTCATAATATTTGAAAGCTTCATCGTACTTTCCTTGATTGTAGAGAATGTTACCAATATTATTGAGACTTGTAGCAATATCAACATGACCAGATAGATAAAATTTCTCTCGAATTTTTAATGCTCGTTGGTGATAATCAAGAGCTTCATTGTACTTTCCTTGTTTCTCGAGAATAACACCAATGTTATTGAGAACATGAGCAGAATCTTTGATTCGTGCTGGTTTATTCGCCATCATTCGTTCATATGCACGATCATAATATTTTTGAGCTTCATTCCACTCACCTTTAAAAGCCAGAGCTCGACCAATATTAAATTCAATCCAAGCACGATCTTCATCATTTGAATCATGCAATAATTGTTGAAAATATTTTTGTGATTTATCATATTCACCTAAATTACATAATAGTCTTCCAAAAACAATCGATACACTTAGTTCTTCTGTTTCTTTTTGTGTTAATGCAATATAATCTTTAGTAATTTTTTGTCCTTCATTTGAAAGATTCATTTTAATTATCTGTAATGATTCATTTTCTTCGATAGATTCGATTTGAAAACAAGCATTTAAATCAAATAAAACTTCTTGTTCATCTGGATATTGACTAAATTGATGAATATCAGCAAAAATAATATTTTTATCAATATGTGTAATATCACATTGAATATGAAAAAGAACAGGAATGACATCAATTCTTTTTGTTGGTTTCTTTGCAAAATTTAATGCTAATGATTTTTGTCGACTAGTTGATAAATATCCATTTGTTGAAATAAGTTTTCCTTGATTTTCTTTTAATTTAATAAATTCTTCTTTGTCAAGTTTAACTCCTCGATAAACATTTAAAATTTTTTCTTCTGATAATAGAATTTTTTCATGTTGACGTTGAAGAGTTTCAGAAAGATCACCAATAAAAAATCGAAATTTATATAATAAATCAATATCTTCAGTTCTTAATGCTTTATTAATTAATTTATAAAGAAATGATTCTTTTGAATACCAACAAATAGCATCTTCTGATCGATAATTTTGTTCAAATTCCTGAATTGATTTCATTTCTTTTGTATTTCCACGGTAATATGCTTTACATATTTGAATCATTTGTTGTTTAGATTGTTGATTGCGTGGAAGACGAGCAATAACATAATGAAATAATTGAAACCAAAGAAATTCTGCCGATTCTTTGGATAAATCTTTAGTTGATTTTTGATGTTGATCAAAAAAAGAAAATGTTTGTATTTGTTTACTAACTAGATCGATTTGTTCTTTAATTGATTTACATAAATCATTAAGATTAATGTAAATTCCAATAATTTTTGAATATTCATTTAATAAATATTCATATCGATATTTATTCATGCAAAAAATAAAAATTGAATCAATTTGATGAAAAGAATAGATTCGAGGTAAAATTTGTGATGCTTTTGTTCCTGATGTAATTAAAAAGATTTTTTCTTTATCAATTGATTGAATAAAGGCAATACATTGTTCAAGGTCAGTAAAAAACATGATATAATCATTAATAAGACGAAGTTGTTGTTTAGTTTGTTTCGTATCTTCAAGTGATCCAATATTTGGATCAAACCAAATAAGTGTTATACTTTCTTTATTTTCATCATAGTTTGTACTTATAGATTGTTTGTCTTCGATGCTTAGAACTCGTGATTTATTAGCCATATGATATGATATGGAGTCTTATTATAATGATGGGAATATCGTGATTACACACGATGAAAGAGATGTGGATATATTTGTAACGAATATATTTTAAAATAATGAATTCAAAGGTCTAAATATATTGTCTTTTTATATCAACATAATAAATGGTAATACCTTTGCTTATTGTCTTACCTTTGCCCTGGTTATGGTAGAATACAGTATTCTCTTTGTATTTGCTCCCTCAACTGAAAAGAGACTCATGCGCTGAGTGAGTAATCTTCTTTCGTTTGTGAATATGTGCACACGTAGGCATGCTCGCTGGTATGCATATACTTTCGATTCTGACAGAACATAAGAAAAAAAATATGTATGTTGGAGGTGAATCGAGAGGCACTCGTATAAAATATACAAACCATTACCTCTTCACATTGTTAATTCAGACTCGGATATCAGCCAGTCAAATATTTTCTCGATCTAGCTCTCGTTCAATCATATTTTTTAGACGTAGAATTAAGACTAATCAAATGCTTTCTTCAGCTGGATGTGTGGATGTGGATGAAGTGAACACTCACACATATACACACACACTCTGAAGTTTGAAAGACTTTAAAAATCAAAGGTTTTGTAAAAAAAAAGTTTATTTTCTTCAGTATGAGGGTTCGAAAAATCCTATGTAATATCCTTAAATATTATCTGAAAATCCATAAACTAATTATATTGCTTTTTAGAGGGGAGAGGGAGCGGGAGTAGTAATAAAGTCAGTCATCACATGAGTTATGTTCATATCTAGTACGAACCAGAGTACAATGCTCTACTAGCTGTCATAGGAAAATACTTCAAAAATGGAAAACAAAAAAGATATGTGACTCCTGAACCTTGAAGAGTTGTACGAATATAGGTTCAAAAAAAGTCATCATTTTCGTCTCTACTAGTCCTGTCGAATCGGACTTGTGATTAGCTCAGTAAAACTAGGGTATAGATGTCTATATGATTTGAAACATTGGTCGTGTCATTAGAGAAAGCATTATTTCCTTAAATTTTGGTACCCTCCTGTGAGATCCAAGGGTCAATAACTTCTTTTCCACGTCAGAGGATTTATATGTGTCGGGTGACAGACGATCATGTATCGGTTCATAGTATGTAAAAACTCATTTCATACAATGTGGAGTTTTTATTGATTTCTGAACGATTTCAAGTATGTTATGTGTTGATAAAGAGTTATTTTTGAGGCTTTATTCCACTAAGACTCTGTTTTCTATTCCACAACATCCTATTGTGATTTTAAAATTATTTTGTAGTCTCCAGTTTGTATTTCAGAAACTTGCTCATATCGCTTCTATAGATCTTACTTTCCTTGTGATTTATCAGTCACAAATCAGTGTTTTCGTCAGAACAACAATTTCGTTGAGAATGTTTTGATCGACAGGATACCTATGTCGAACCAACATTTTATTAGAGTGCACACTCTGTAAGATGATTGCATAGCCAAGCGCTCAGTCCTTTAACTTTATCTGCTCTTGAAATATGTATGTGCACGAAATACCGAATAATGACAATTTTTCTATTTACTTGGTAGCATCGGTCAATTTTTCAACGATTCATCCATTTGAATTCATATTTTTATGACAAATACTTGAGCATGAGGCACGTTCAGAGTAAATGCTTGAAGCCCTACGAATGTATCCTTGAGTGTGATGTGTGAGGTGGGCGTGGATGTGAATCTTAGCTAAACCACACCCACACCCCATATATCCACATTCATTCATCCGCTCATGCCCACACCCACACAAATCCTACACTCGCACATCAAACACACCCCATACTCGTATCTACACCCACATCCGCATCACACACATCCCACATTCACATCCACACTCATACATTAGGCTCACACCAAACGCCAATAACTCAGATCTACACACAACCTCCATATCCAAACCCCCGTCTCCAAGGCGATAGACGTGTATCACAGTCACACATTAGATCTTAACTTAACACTCAAAGGTACGCAAACAAACCCTGCTCTAAGCCAACATGCATTGTTGACACCGCTATCCCTTACCGACACCTACACTTACACCCACACCCACACCTATGTCCACACCCACATCGGTACCCACACCCTGCATGCATAATCCGTAGCGATAACGCGACGACTCTTTCTCACAACTTCATCATCCACATTTCTCGACAGATCTACATCCTCTGCTTTGTTGATTTTGAAAACGATGTGTTTTTGGAGAGAATTGGCAATTTCCAAGTTGTCATTTTTGTCGACATGAGACGATCGTTCATAAATGTGAAGGGCCATCTTCAGGTGGCCTCAAGGGGGGAAAATCGTACTTTTATACTTCGTGTACTTTACTTACTTTAAAATACCTTAAAATACTTTAGAATACTTGAAAGTACTTTAAAATGCTTTAAAGTACTTTAAAATACGTTAAAGTACGTGAAGTACAAAAGTACGATATTTCCTCCTTGACTCTTGACTTTCAATTCGTGGATTTCCAATAATTTATGTATCTTGAATAAGGAACTTGAATGTGGGCATGAGTATTGGTTCTATATCAATTGATCTTTATTTTCTAAAAATACGTTTTTCTTTTTCATCTTGGTGTACCTAGAAGGAAAGTTTTTTTTCGGCTTGGAGATCAAAAACAAATAATTATTTCAAGAACAGACATCGATGGGTGTATCACAATGAAACCTTTTCGAATATTTATCAAAACTCTCTTTGCACAAATATACAGTACATTGATTATCTTTGTTATTCATGGTCCAAAATCTGCTGTTCTTACACTCGAATCAATGATTGGTTTCATTTTAACTACCTTAAAACCCGAAGAAAAAGTGAGTTTTCCCTAATTTTTCACACTATTTTTCATTTTAATTCTTTTTAATGTTGAAAGAAAAACAAAGTCTAGAAAACTTTGTCTTTTTCTTAAACTCCCTATAAACAAACTAAGGCTACTACCGAAGATCGAAAAATGGATGATGTCCATTCAATTACGATATCTTTCATCTCGTGTTCGAACGAATATTTTTCTACGTTTTCATGCTCGAGACTATCGTAGCTCAAAGTGCAAACTTTCGATGAATACGTCAAAAACAATTGGTGTCCGTCACAATAAATTCAATGCTATGCGCCTTATAAAAAATAGTAATTTCATATATATAATATATTGATTGTAAACAATATTTACGATGATTTTTGATTAATTTTCATTATTGTATTACACATTTGATATTCCAATTCATCGAATGCATGCATTCATTCCATCTGTAGGTTCTTTGTCTGATTTGTTCAAATCTACTTAAAATTACAATTCTACATGTGTTTGCAAAAAAACTTGCACAAAATTAAATTTTTTATATAACGATTTTCTTGCCGTTAGAAAGCAATTAAGGGTAAACCTCCTCTCGGAAATCTAATCTTCTAAATGATGCAACGAATGTCGATAAAGATTTCAGAAACTAGAAAAAGAGATATTAGTAGCATATGATAAAAATTTGAACCAATCGTTTCTCATAATTGAGAAGTTATACCGAATGTAGTCCTAAACATGGAAATTTTGGCTCGGAACATTTTCCAGGTGCCGGGTAGCGCGGATAATGGGGAGACTTATTTCAAAATGAAGGAAAAACTAGCACCTACAAATTGTTGGAACAGTTTTTTGAAATTCGTTTTCACCGGAATATAGTGGTCATTTTGAACTGAGAATCGCGAAAATTGTTTTGAGTTCTTTTCAAGATTTTCATATATCTGAACAACGGGTGCATGTTTTAGAAATTTGTTTAAACAATTTGTAGAGAAAAGTTTGATCTTTCGAATAAATAGAAAACCAGTAATATATATTAAAAGATGGATCGAGAAAATGTTCCGGAGTGGTCAGGAAAAGATAAAAAAGTGAAGTTGAGAAAAACGAATAACAACATTGTGGAATGATTTGTAGTGTGTCTGTGCAGAAATTTGCAACATATTATACATCGTTGGAAAGGGCGCAAAACGTTCTTCCCTTCTATGGTATTTGCGACAAAAAATAAAACACATTTTCAAATTCCAGTTTACTGTAGCGCTACCTTTTTCAGAATTTGCGCAGTTTTGGAACTATAAAACCTTTGTATAACCACCAAAACAAGTTCAGATCATGATTAATCGATATGAAGATTAATTTAGAGTGCCGAGAAATACGAAGAAATGATAATACACAGTTCTCGGTAACTAACGAAAAATCATTCAAACAGCCTATTCTCGTATATGACTCTCGAATAAGCGCCAAAACTAGGTTAAATATGTTCCATTCATATATAATTTATACATATTCTGAATGAAGACACTCAGGGCTACAAGATTATGTGCTTTTTGGAAAATCGACTTTCTGAGGGGGTCCCCCTTAAGAAATTCATTTTTCTAGGGATATATGACCATTGGTTATATTACACGTTGAACATACAGAAGTATGATTTCTTCTCTTATTGATACATGTAAATTTAATCATGATATCATCTAGTGATTTAAAAAAGTATCATATATCAATATTAGATCATTGCAACAAAGGCATTCGATCTGCTCGTGTTATTCATCGTGAAACAAATATTCTACCGAGGACTATCTATTACAATATAAATAAATTAAAACAAAGAAATTCACTTAGACATCAAGATGAAAATGGTCGACCATGTGCATTGATTGGAATAGGACAAAAAAGCTATTGGTCAATATATTCGGTGTAACAATGAAATATGTTATCTTCATGGTCTATTTTATGTTCGTATGCTTAGGATTTGTCTTTTTCTTCATGCTAGACAACAATTTCGACGAAATTGGCGTTTACAATAGGACAACGATCTCAAACTCACCAGTAATATTACCAACAAAAATGTTTCACAATCATTAAAGTGGCCATATAATAGTCTCGACGTTAACCTTATTGAGAACATTTGGTCGATCATAAAACTCAAAGTTGAAAAAAGAAAACTGGAAAAGATTGATGAACTGGAGTTTTTTTAGTTCAAAAATTGAAAAGTACTGAAAACGAATGTTGTAATAGATTTTATGGTGTTTATGAAAAACAGGCATTTGTCTCTTATTTCTTCTAAAGGCGAACGAATAAAATATAAAATTATTCTGTTTAATAGTAATGATCGCAGCTATTAACCACTATATGAAATACTTCAGGAGGACATACATGTAAGAAAATACTGGTATAGCAAGATGTGCAGAATTTTTTGCAAACACCTGAATTTTGTTTTTCTCCTGCAGGCATCTTAACACTTCTCTGAAATTATTCTGTTACCTTTCAATTTGAACAAAAAAAAATAAATCAATTTACTGTTCTGCTATTTTTAGATAGTTTATTTTTTACCTCTTGCACACAAATTTCGACCTCAATCTGCCAGCACTCTTTCTTTGTGAGTTCTCTCTCAACGCAAAAAAAGCAATCATGTGACATTCTTTGTTTTTCGTTCTGTCAACTTTCTTGCTTCTAACCGGCATATATCTATAAATACGCACATATCTTACTCAAATAAACAGCCACATAATTTTAAACTCAACTGTGTGTGTGTGTATCAAAAACAAAAGGTGTGTCTTTCATTTATAGATATTAATTGTAAGTGTCGATATTAATCATGGATACTGAATGTATAACTGTAACAAGTTACGTACTGGATCAAAGAAAAAAATATCCCGGTGCTACTGGTGATCTAACCATTTTACTCAATGCATTATTAACAGCTGTTAAAGCTTGTGCAGCTGCTGTACAAAAAGCTGGAATTGCAAAATTGTATGTTAAATGAAATTTTGATTTTCATCATTATCATTCTGCTTTTGTTTTTGTTGATAGATATGGTTTAGCAGG